CCGCGGCCTCTTGGATATTGTGTACGAGTTAGTACAGTGTGATGCAAGGATTGCGAATGGAGAAGAAATGGAAGGGATATATGATAGCGACTCCGAAATCAGCTGGAGGGACTGAAGAAAACCGCATATATATATATACGATAGGAATGTGACTCAGTCGTTGAAACAGCTGCATTGAATCATACAAGAAATAAAAACGTTGACTCCAAATTCGTTTCCCTTTCGAAAAGCTTAACTGGGTCGAACTTCTCAGAATAAAAGGCAACAGCATCGTGTAATGACCTCTCAGTTGAACCCGCAGTTTTACTTTATAAAATTAAATGAATAATTCTAGCCTTGTAACATTGACTGTGTTGCATAGTAAAATTAATTTGATACTTACGAGGTGTATGCCGATCACATTGGCCCTGCGGTCTTCTCCCGCTCGAACGCTAGGATCGTAGGTTCGAATCCCACCCAAGGCGTGAATGTCTGTGTTTGTGTTGCGGCCTTGAGACGAGCTGATTACCCGACCAAGGAGTCCTATTGTCTGCTTAAAAAGATGGCGAAACTGAAGAAGAGGTGAGATATGAACACAGGCCTGTAGCGCCATTGATGAATGAATGCATTTAGGAGGTGTCGCTTTGATCCCAGAGTATTTGGAAGCTCTCCTTTGTCTTCTGTAACGCAGTGATCGTGTGCCTCGTGTACAACTGGGGTTTGCACATTTCCCAACAAGCGAGATTGGAGGCTCCCACAAGATGCGGTTGTCCAGGATGTGAGGCCGTGTGTTCCGGTAGACAGTTGTAACATTTAGAAGGAACGTGCTGTATCCATGCTCAGGTAGAGACCCGGACGTTGGAGGCGGCAGGTTCCTCGGAAGGTGGCCACTGCTAGCAACATCTCAGAAGATGATATCATGGGCATGGTTGCTGCAACCATGTTTCCACATTTCAGTATATTTGTGTAGTAGACCTCTATCGGACCGCCTCTGTGGTCTAGTTGTCAGAGTTTCTGGGTACAGATCTAGAGGTCCCGGGTTCGATTCCCGGCGCTACCAGATTTTCTGAGTAGTGGGTCGGGAACGGGGTCCACTCAGCCTCGTGCGGATAATTGAGGAGCTTTTTCAAGGAACTAGCGACTCCGGTCTAGAAAACCGAAATTAACGGCCGTGGGGATCCGTTGCGCTGACCACGCGGCACCCTCTATCCGCAAAAGTTGGCACGAACTTCGCCGACAACGGAGGTCGCTCGGTCGATGTAGTTCGCTTGCGGACTCAAGCCACGGAGTTTAGTAGACGTCTTTCAGATTTTATAGTCAAAATGTATTTGTGTCTCACGCTCATCAGTTATTGCTCATGTCTGAACTGTTTTTAAGCTTCGAAATTGTCTGTGTTTTGGAAAGCATAAACTACTGACCAGTGTGATCATACATACACAATGCCTACACACAGTTTACGATAATGCGTGACCGGATGTTCTGTCAGATAGGCTGTATGTGTCGCCGCAAGAAATAGCTAAAATAACTGCCGTAACTCTATTATTGAAGAACGGGGAATATCGGACGGAACGTGAAGCTGACTAATGAAGTATCACTGCTGTGGATAATTGTGGCCACATTTTTGTCCCTAACTGGTAGATTTGCCCGCTCTTCACGCAAACCTTGGAAATATTTTCGTTCTCTCTTTCTGCATGGCAAGGTCTTAGCAATTTTGCTCTCCTGTGTGATGGGTTTTGTGTGGTGGAATGAATTATGACATTTTACGATCAATTGTATTCATTCCTATTCCAAACTGCACGCTGTAAAGCAACAAAACTCTCCTCTGGATGTAACTGGGCGCTTGAGAAAGTCCTGTGAATATTGTACGTTATAGGGAGTTTATCATTACAAATCAGTTTGACCCTTGTTGGAATCGAAACTGTCACAGTGATGAAAGTGACGAGTTATATATTTTGCGACATAACGCCGTGTTGCTCTGTTTGCTGCACGCTCAGTGCTAGTTTCTTGCTTCCTCCGAAACTTCGATTGACTTTTACCGGACTACACGGAAGATAAAACTCGAGTTTTACCGTTACTACTACATAAACCCGTTTTCAGTATTTCCTGCATGTATATTTTGGCCTAACATGTAGTCACACTTCTTGTGAAACACGAGGTTTCCCTACCACAGTTTAAATAGATTTTATGTTTCCGCCACGATCCCCTTGTCTAACACAGCACAATCTCCACGATTTAGTCAAATCTTAAAATATCGTAAATTTCTGAACGTTTGTGGCAGTGGAACCTGAGGCAAGGGCAATACATATAGCCTTGCTGTGGAACCATATTCACAACCGTACAACATTTTAAACAATTTACGAACTGGAGTTCTAACTTTAGTAAACCTACTGCCTTAACGTTTCTCTTTATTTAACAGTCCCATGGCATAATTCTCCGACAAGCGGCGGTCACTCGGTTGGTATAGTTCGCTTGCGGACTACAGCCTACGGAGTTTAGTTCATGGTATAATAAAATAAGACGGAATCAAATTTATACGTAATTCAAATAGCATTTGGCGCATTCATAAATTTGGTCTCCAGTTTGGTGGTCCGGGTCATGTGAAGTTCTGCCGTTCTCAATGTTACCTTTAGAACGGCACAAGTGAACCCATCCTACTTTCAAATCAAATAATGCGGCACGTACATCCAAGAGACAGAACTTTTTAAAACTAATATTAGTTCTCTTGTTTCCTGCTTCGTGACGTAACTAACTTACGCTAACTTCTTCCTACATGCCAGACAGACTAACAAGTTTTACATGACACAGACAGCCGTGAAGGTTAAATTTGACAAATACCTGAAGGCACAGTATTGTGGCCGTGAGTTGAATGTTACTGATTTCAGGTAGTGCCATAGCCAAAGCGGTTGGTCGCCTGCTTCCTAACTCGGCGGTCCTGCTTCGATCCCATGTTAGGTCATGTGGGATTTGTGGTGGACAAAGTGGCAACGAGGGAGGTTTTCTCGGAGAACTGTGGTTTCCCCTGCTAATTCACATTCTACCGATTGTCCCGTACTCATAAATCGGTAGGCCCACTGGTGGCCGACGTACCAAGTGGACTCAGTCTCACCCCACATCACGAGTTAAATTAATTAATGGTTTTATTTCGTTACATTCAAAACGTGACATAATGTCTTACTCCATGCAGCGCTCCCTCATTGCTGGTGAAAGCATTTTGGTGTATAATGGACTATCTGTGCCCTCAGCATGTAAAGCAGTAATACGAAGCGACATAACCGCAAACATGACTCATTCACAGCGAGGCACTTGACTGGAACCACTTGGTGTCCTCGCTGGTGTTGGACAGAATTGCACTGTTTCGAAGGTGAGATGAGTTGAGCAAAGTCATTCCATAAGTATATTTTCAGGGTCATTTTGAGAGCTGAAGAGTTCTATATTTTGGGACATAACGCTGTGTAGTCCGTCGAAAATCAATCGTCGTTTTGGAGGAATATGTTGCCTCCATCTGCAGGGTCAAAGAATAAGCCAAGCGAGAAACCAGCGTTAAAGCAGGTGGCAGGCAGAGCAATAGGCTTGCTGAAATTTTGGATTATATTGGAAGCAAGAGGGAAATGAAAGGCAGCAACTTGGTTCCCATTGGCTTGCCTGTAGGTTAGAATGAACCTTCCGTACCCATTAGCTCTCAGGCATAACTGAGCGAACCAACAGGAGACAAGAATATGATAACCAGCCTGCCCCAGGAAAGGATCGCTCTAGTTATCCAGTCTGCGAAGTGGTTTATGCAGACTCATCATTTTACTGGAGCAATGGGGGCAGCTACAATTGCAGTTGAAGGCTTTGGATGTCCCCTGCTGCATTTGCAGTTGGAGACTGAGGCCATAGCAGGAATTTCTACATTCTTGCAGCAAACTATGCATGTCTTGCAGTAGGACTGATAAAGTGATATGCAGACATGTCTATGATACTATACATCAGATTCCCTGATGGGAATGAATGGAAAGTTTGAACAGGATAGGAAAGGGGGAGTAGTCTGGTACACAGATGGTTGGATCACGAACGAAGATTTATGGTTACGATATGAAGAAGAAGCTTAGATTTAGCCTTGCACAGTGCACCATGGTATTCCAGGCAGAAGTGTATGCCACCAAGACAAGAGACAGGTTATGTGAGTAGAAACATCTATATTCTGACAGTATCGCCTCGAAACTGGTCTGCTGTCATTCCCATATAAACCTGGTTGAATGTAACAGAATGCTACTTATGTGGGTGCTTCACCACACAGAAATTGCTGATTAACTGACGAGAGTGGAATATGAACGTCCCCTTAGATGACCTGAAGAAGCATATGGTATCTCAGTAGGAGTTGCCAAGAAGGCTGTCAGGAACTAGACAGGCATGCAGAGGGTTTCCTACTGGGGACCTTCACGTAAAAACTGGGCAACTACTGAAATTAATTAAGAACCGTCTAAGATGGGTGACACAGCTATTTACAGGACACTATCACTTGAAAGGACGTCTTTTTACATTGGGATTGTGCAACAATCCCACTTGTGAATGATGCTTTATGAAAGATGAAAACTTCCTTATATATCCTATATGATCGTCAGACTGTAGCTTCCTTCAAATGTCATCACATGGAACGTTACCTTATGGAACTAGGTGGCTATCTAGGAGTCTCCTGAAGTTTGCTGGGGGCTAACAGAAGGAGACACGCAACAGAGCACTGATGGTTGTGGTGCGAGGACGTAGCAAGACCCATCCCTTCTGCTTTCTTTCATTTTGAAAATATGATTTACCTTAATGTTTATCATGACACATATAGCTGTCAGTACTGACATGCCTACCCCCCCCCCCCCCACACACACACACACACTGCTCCTTTTACTGTTATCCTTGTCCAGCGATAAAACCGGTCTTGACCAGAATGGTCATGAAGTGTATTGAATTTTATGCAGTAGGTGGGTGTCACTGGTGCTTCATCTGGTAGTAAGGATGTCAGAATTGAATGTAAACTTTATTTATAGGTTACCCAGATGAACACCGGCTGTATTTTCGAAGATTGTCCCAAACCACACAAACTGATGTTTTGCTTGGTAATTTGGACATGACTGGATCGGGAAAGGTACTTCTTCGTCCACTGACTGTACAGGAGCGAATCAGGGAGCTGAATTTAAGAGCAAGAATGTTCACTGATACAATGTTAGCTATTCAGGCAAGTGGAAGTTCTCCCCGACACAGCCCCCTGCCAGGACCAAGGAGTTTGCAGGTAATGTGAACCATTATTGCCTGACATACATACATATATATCGATCCAACAAAGCCATTGACATCAGATGAATACTAAAGAGCTCAAATTATTTTAACTGAAATTCTACCATCTTCAGTGGTACTCAACCTGTTAAGTTGGTTATTAAAAGCTTTATATTATAAAATTATAATACATCTAAAGGGCGTGGTTATAATGATCTTCTAAATATATAATGTTTTATGTAAATATATAAATCACTGTGCTAAAGTTAAGATTTGTCATACTTAACAAATTGTAATCATTTCACTTTCAAGTGTAATGTCACATGTGTGGGTGACTACAGACGGGTTTGGATTGGTGACCAAGATTATTGATCACTTGTACATGCAGCTTATAACGACAAGTAACTATATCAGCCTCACTGGTCTACACACTGTAACTGCAGCACACATAAATTCTTCTGTCTCTTCACTAGTCGTTTCCTGGTAAAGGATCCTAATAATGTTGTATGCTCATGTCCTTGCCATCTGGCGAATATCCCACACCACCGCTAAGCTCTAAACTTTATCCCGATTATAACCTACCAGCAAGGACCGCGTAGAAAACACTGCTCCTCTTTGTTGTATCCATTGTTGCGTGTGCAGCCATCGGTGCAGACCCCGCAGAAAACACCACTTTCCAGCCAGTCCATTGGCGCGCTGGCTGCTTCATAGTAACGGCTGTTGTCTCGTTGCCTAGCAAAGGTTGAAAACACCTCAGTATTATTAATTGTATTATAATTTTGCGATGTAAAAGTCTCAGTAGCCTGCTTGTCAGATTGAACATCCCTGAAAATTGCAAAATTTCAGCTGAAACATGTCATGGGATTACATACTTCAGTACTGTCAATTTAACAAATTGTATCAAATGGTTTTATTGAATTAATGAAAAAGTAATGTGTGAAATGGTACCCAGTATTGACATAAGGTGGGGGGGTGATCAATCACTCAGACCACTACTGGGTCTGTTGTGAACCCCCAGTGTTGTTTGGGTGCTTAAAGACCCTTGGTTTAGGTGAGCCAAAACCCTCTGGATTGAGGTCGTAATATTCATAAGCTGTACCCAGTCTGAGTCCACGTACATAGGTGTATGCCAAACCAAGTTGAGCAGTGTCATAGTGTCCTCTTGGAGTGGTGGCAGAAGGGTATAATAGCCACTGACAGAGACAGCTGATAGATAAAGAAGAAAGCAGTCTTCTGGGATTTGGCGCCGTGTATATGTGGTGTTAACCGACGTTTCGGAGGAACGTATCGCCCCCATCTTCAGGGTTGAAGAAAAAGTATAGGTAAATCTGCAAGCGACAACACCGTGAGACACGGTAAAGCAGTAAAGCGGTAAAGCACCGTGTCTCACGGTGTTGTCGCTTGCAGATTTACCTATACTTTTTCTTCAACCCTGAAGATGGGGGCGATACGTTCCTCCGAAACGTCGGTTAACACCACATATACACGGCGCCAAATCCCAGAAGACTGCTTTCTTCATAGTCACCGCCGTGAAAGCCTCAGTTCTTACACAGCTGATAGATATTGCACCATTAGTCCCAACTGGACTCGCAACCAAACCCAAGCCAAACTTTTAGTGCCCTTGGGAAGAGGCTTCCTCATCCTTGCCAGTTTCTCCTGCCAGTCCCATTTCAACCCACAGCTGAGCTCCAGCTAAGGCATCAGGTCCTTCGAGAAGAGCATTAGCCTCCTCCTTGGTAATCTGTCCCCTTTTCAAGAGACCTCAGCAGACTCCTCATCAGAGCCCTTCCAAGATCCTGACTGACTGCCTGCCTGTCCATGACCACAAAAGAGCAGTAAACCCTAGAAACTGAGCCCTCAAAGCAGGGAGGGAAAGTCCCCTTTGGAGCATAGCCACCCTGTTTTGTATACACCAGCGACAACAGAGCCCCAACTTGGTCCGAGCTAGACCTGTGGTCAAGCTTCAGTTGACACCTCGGTCTCCTAAGAGAGGAATTCGAACCCCCTGCCCCCTCTCCTCCATCACTCCCTTTTCTGCCCTTTGCATTTTTTCTTCTTGGTGGGACCTGGAGTGTGAGGGTGTGACTGCCACCAAGTTACTGGTGCAAATAAATACAGAGACCTGATCCTCCAGGTTGGGTATTGTACGCTATGTAAAAATTTACTGTTGTGAAATCCAAAGAAGTGAAAACGGGATGGTCTAATTCATTGCAGAATAACAAAGTATGGCAGAATCTCGTAAGGAAGGCTGTGGCTCGAAATGAGCTGTTTTGCTGATGAATATGATGGTTAGATTACAGTTAGATTACTCACTAGTCATTCCCATGAAGAGATCTCTTTCTGTCTCACCTCAGTAGATCCCTGACCAGAACTGTTACTGTCACAGTAACAGAGGTCTCAGAATTGAATCCTCTGATGTTATTCTCCACAGTTACTGCCCCTCACTGCCATTTCTTAACAGGCAGCACCACTGGTCCCTGCAGGATCTACAGTCAAGCTCTAGCTGGGTCCTTAGTTTCCTTTAGAATACAGTTCATCTACTGTGCTAGCCTGCTTCCTCCTCACTATACCCGTTAGCAAAGCTCACGAGACATTCTGACTGCCACTTCCAGGCAGCAGAGGAGCAGAGTGCATGGAGGGAGAGGGATAGCAGGTCCCAAGCAGTTCTCTGTGAAGGGAAGCTCCTCCCATTCTGCTTCCTGCACTATACTTTCCAGTTCTTCCTGGTGCCTTCCCCACCCTCTCTGTAGCAGCAGGAGAACTGCAGCCAGTCATTTTCTGGCAGGATAACCCTCACCATTGTCCCAGCTGGACCCACAACTGAGCTGCAACAGAAGGGTCATCCTCTTCTGCTAGCTGGTCCAGTTCTCCTGTTTGAGTGTCAGTTTGCTTGACCCCATAAAGAGAAAGGCTCACCTACAGTGGACTCCTCATTAGAATTCCTAAGAAATATTGGTTCCTGAAGGGGTGGGGCATCTGTCCCCCCCCCCCACAGCTTCAATATGGGGGGAGGCTAGGTTACAATAGGATGTTGCCTTGTATTGCAATGACATCGTTTAGCCTTTTGCTCCCTCAGGGACACACAGGCCTTGGCATCATAATTCACACTGTGCTTCAGGGCACCACCACTACCTTTATTGAACCAAGCAAGTCCCCTCTCTGTTGCCAGGATGGCTGGGCAGCTGCTTCCAGGAACTGCCACTAGGAGGCGAGTGAGTTCACTTGGCCCTTATGTATAGCAGTCATAAAGTTCACTGTTTTGAATTTAGAGTCTGTATGCTTGTTACACAGTCTTCTGACTGTGCAACAGAGACATCAAGCATTCAGTCTGCTGGCATAGAACTTTGCACTCGGCTCTCTCTCTCCATTGCAAGTTTCAAATTATTTCTCAGGATTACTGGCGTTTTGGGCTTTGTCCATCGTTTTGTGTTCTAAAAAAACAAGAGAACACAGTGTTCCAGAAACTGGATCTGTTTCTCTCCTCACATGAGGGTGGGGGGGGGAGACAGCCACTCTGTTCGGTCTGTTGTCTGCTTTTGTATTTTTTAGAATACAAAACAATTGAGAAAGTCCAAAAGCCCAGTAATGCTGAGTGTTATATACTGCCATCCAAACCCTTTAGAATCTACCTTCAAATTATTTGTTCACAGGTTCATTAAATAGAGTGTCCCACAAAGCTGTGAGGACAGCCCAGTTTCCATGATAAATGTTTCTTGTTCTGTGTGTAATTGTAATTGAAATGTGCTATAACTAAGCAATGATGTTTATTCGGTACAGATTGTTTAAAGAAAACCCCTTTGCAAAACCAAACATTCTCACTGATATTGTAATATAATTAAATGTGATTGTGCTGTTGGTGGAGAGTGACATGATTGACTTTCTATTTCTGTAAGTTTGTAATGCAGTCCCCAGTGCCAAAATCAGGACATGACCAAAGGACAGCTGTTTTTCTGAAGTACTTTGCATTCCATTTGTAGTGCTCTCCGTGGAGTTCACCGCGGATTCTGAGTCCAGTGGATGTTCGTCACTTCTTAGCAAGCAGATCTACTGAAAATCTGTCAGGTCTTGCAAGCCATGGAGGTCATGGAGAATTAGTTGGTTCCCCCATGAGGCGGCGATGGCCGCGCAGATCGCTGCGTCATTCAAGTCAGTCCAAGAACCGCAGTCCTGAAGGAAAACGAGAGAGTGAGGAAGAAGCTAGAAAAGAAGCAGAGAAGTTGTTACGCGATGGAGAAGATGAATTAAGACTGCGTCTTGAGACTCTTTGTAATCGTGATAGGTGAGAGTAACATTAAGAGTTGCAGGTCTTTTTATGCAGAGAAACCAAAGTACTCTGCTGGTAATAACCCAAATTAAAACCTTAAATTTGTAATAAAAAATCAAAATTTCATGCCATTATCCTGTAAGTTGGTAAGTGTGCTACAAACAGCATGCAGAATGGCCTGTAGGTTGCAGCATAGTGCAGATGCACGAACACCGTCACAGCACCAGTATAAGATGGCTGCCCCACTTGAGACTTGCACCAGGGAAGAACAGCGTTCTGTTATTCGGTTTTTGCGTAGTGAAGGTGTGAAACCTATTGAAATTAATCGAAGAATGAAGTTTCAATATGGTGATGCATGTTTGTCACAGCAGCAAGTGTGTGAATGGAGTAGGAAGTTTGCAAATGGTGTGACTTCAATGGAAGATGCTCCTCGTCTGGGTCAGGCACATCGAGTTGTGACTCCAGAGAACACTGCAGCAGTTGAAGCCATAGTGAGGGAAAACCGCCAAGTGACATTGAATGAAATTGCAGCAAGTTTAAACATTAGTCATGGTCCATCATACCGCATTGTGCACGATATGCTCCAGTTTCACAAAGTGTCTGCAAGATGGGTGCCACGGCAGCTGACTCCTGAATTGAAAGACCGACGTATTGATGCTTGTGAAGAACTTCTGTGGGGCTTTGAGCGAGAAGGTGATGACTTCCTTGCAAGAATCGTTACTGGGGATGAAACCTGGGTTCACTACCACCAACCGGAAACAAAGAGAGCGAGCAAGGAATGGTGCCATTCCTCATCTCCAAAACAGAAGAAGTTTTGAACACAACCATCAGCAGGGAAGGTTATGCTGACTCTCTTTTGGGACGAAAAAGGTGTCACCTTGGAGCACTACACGCCTAGAGGGGACCACTGTCACCAGTGCATCATACTCAGATCTCCAAAAAAATCATCTTCGGCCTGCAATCAAATCAAAGCGATGTGGATTGCTGTCCACAGGTATCCTTTTGCAACATGACAATGCAAGGCCCCATACTGCCTGTACAACAGTTGCGACAATCAATGACCTGCATTTTGAGTGTCTTCCTCATCCGGCATACTCACCAGACCTTGCCCCAACTGATTTTCCATACGTTTGGACCACTCAAAGAAGCAACGGGAGGAAAGACGTACCGCTCTGATGAAGATGTATGCCACGCGGTGCATGAGTGGTTGCGTGAACTACCAAAAGAATTTTTTTTCTAAAGGAATTCATGCACTTTGTAAGTGCTGGAGGACTTGCATTGAGCATGGGGGAGATTATGTTGAAAAGTGATACAACTTTGTACCACTTGTGCACAATAAATAATACTCAAAAAAATATTTAAGGTTTTCATTTGACTCACCTACGTAGCAGTCTGTTTCTGTAACAAGAATGGAAAGATACAGTGCATACTGGAGTGCATACAGTTTTCGTATGCATTTTTTCTACCTTGGCATTCTGTGTTTGCATCCAGTGCACATTTCATAAAGCTCAAAAATTCATTAGCATATTTTCCTTGGTTTCTTAGTTAGTTATTGGAGAGGGTGGGTTTCCCCATGCACTTAGACCAGTATAGGTCCATTGTGCTTCCCTCTATGATATTCTACCAGTCTCTATACCCTACCGATAATGGTGCGTACCATCAGTCCCGACCGAGCCAGCGAGTTCTCAACTGGCTTGGCGGTATCTGTAATGCTTCCCCCATCTATCAGAGGCCTTAGAGACTGCTGTTGGGCAGGAAACGTCCTTGAATTTGGCTCAGTGATCTCCTTTGGAGATATGAGGTTCTTTTACATGCCGTAAAGCTACGACACGGGACCCACAGCTTAAAGTCCCTCCCGGAGGACTTGTTCCCTGAATTTTTCTGCCCTTAAAAATTCGACGACCTCCACCGGGTATTTGAACCCGCGTACCATGAGTCATGAGGTGGGAACGTTACCTCTAGACTACGGAGCATTTTCCTTGGTTACTCTCATTATATCTGTTCTTGTTAATATGCTTCCTGTGGTTACCATGGTAATCATGGCTGCAGTAGTGGAGCTGTTCGTGTGCCTGCCACAATGTTATTACCACTGTAGGAAACTAAGAACTGTGACTTGAAGTGGCCTCTAATTGTGTAATGTTCATATCACATTTCATCAGAATCTGTTAAACAGTTCTCCAATTGAAACACAAAATTGGACCAAACACAAGATGGAGCCAGATGGACTAATATGCACAGCTGTGGCCATCCCTATGTGCATTCTTTTCATTCAGCTGTGCAAAGAACATTTTAAAAATAGTCTCATTCCCTAATAATGTTACACATTTTATATCCTGCAGTCCTCAACTTCCCATTGTGTGATACACTTCAATTCTTATGTTGCAGAGTGATGACTATGCATGAGGCAAAGAGTTTGGTGGCCCTGCTACACAGCAATGATGAACTTCTGCTTGAAAGAACACTCACCACAATTGGTAACTGTGGAACATTTTCAGCAAATCAGGTAATGTAAACTCATTATTAGTCAACATACTTTCTTCAGTTTGAATTTTTATTTTTTGAGAATTGTTACCTGTGGTTGTCTTCTTACAAGGTACCCTAGTTCAGGCTTATAATTTCATATAGACTGGATATATTTAAACTTTTATAGTGGAACTTCCATTTAATGTTCCTTATTTGAAGTCTTTGAAGGGTTTGATGTTCAGTTTCAGTTCTCCAGAGTCAAGAGTATCATTGATAATTACTTCCATTTTTTATATTCCTCATTTTAGCATTCAAATCCACTGCCTCTAAAAGAAACCTTAAATAGTAGTTCTGCTGTAAGTTTCCATTTTCTTTGGCACATTTCTCTGTATATTCTAAACTTGTCAGAAAATGAACTGAAATATCATTATGCAGAATGCATTTCATCTTAATTCAATGTTTAATTAATTTACATATTAAAATATGTTTCATAAGTTTGGATGATCTGTAACAACAAAACAGTTACCATTTAACTCTGTTCTCAGCTGAGTTCAATTTGCATCATCATATAATCTTTACTTAAGAAGTAGGTACCTTTCTTGTGTACTGTCCCAGTTCCTTGTGAGCTTGCTGATTTATGCTGATTAAACACTATTAGAACGCTGCATGTTTCTGTCATATATGACTATCTTCAGTGGGGATACCATGTAGGAAAGGGCACTATACAATTTGCATATATGAATAAAAGATTTAAAATATGTGAGCCATAAAATGTTGGTAAAAAGAGATGGAGGAACCTTCATTCCCAGGATTAATGTTGAAAACGTTATTCAATTAGGATTTTTATTGGAATAAATATACTGTGTACATTAAAATCGATTCTTTATTGAAACCTTACTATATTGATATTGATTGATATACTATTTATTGATATTACCCAAAGCATTTAGTTTTTAGTTACGTCAGTGAGTTGATGAGATAGGTCTATGATAGCTAAAATACAAAATGTAGTTCATGCAGGATAAATTGTCCACATTTTGTCCAATCAAACTGGAATAGCAAAGTCAACACAAGTGTCCATTACCAGCCAGTAGCTGGGTAAACATGGTTTCCCCAGTGATGTCACCCATTAATAAATAACAGTTAGCTAAACATGTTCCAATTCTACTGTGATAACAATTCACTGAGCAGATATGGTTACCATGGTAATTAAACTCCAACACATAGCACCAAACATGCATTTGTGTGATAACAATTCACTGAGCAGGTACGCTTATCATGGTAATTACAATGGTCCCCGATGTGAGATGATCTCAGAAGAGCAGACTGGAACCCTATGGGGGACTGTATACTATCACGGCTGCCTAACATATATATTGTTCCCACAGTGAAGTCACCCATTGCTAAGTAACGGTTGGCTAAACACGTTCCAACTTCATTGCATAGCACCGAACATGCATTTCTGTGATGATAATTCACTAAGCAGATACAATAATAAGGAAGAAATTAAGGATGATTATGTCCACTTTTGGTATTCCAACAAAATTAAGTAGAATAATTAACTTAACCGTGACAGAAACAATCAATCAAGTTAAAATCCAGAACCAGTTAACAGAATGCTTTAAGACAAATCAAGGATTAAAACAGGGAGATAGCTTGGCACAATCACTATTTAATTTGGTATTGGAATATATAGCGAGGAAATGTATTGTAGACATAAGGAACACAATAGCGTATAAACAAACGCAAATAATGGTGTATGCAGATGATATTATTATAGTATCGAGATCCCTAAGAGCAATGAAGGAGACATATAAAGAAATAAAAACCATAGCAAAAACAACTGGCTTAGAGGTGAATGTAAAGAAAAGTAAAATGCTGATACAATCTAGAAGGAATCCAAGGCAAACTGGAGAAATTAACATGGAAGGGGATGGGATAGAAATAGTTTGTAGATGTTGATAATACGAAGAATGTGAAATTGTGTTTTTAAATGTTAAATTTTAGACTGGGTTCAGTGTGGCAGCAACGTTAAGAGTATACACCTGATGATGGCCGATAGAGGCCGAAACATGTAGTGTAGAAAGAACAAGATCAAAGACATATAATATATATTGTTTGCACTTAGGACGGAGTTGAAGACCATATATTTAGGATCGAAATTCCACAAAGATGGAGAGGAAAATCATGAAATAATAAGAAGAATAAAACTAGCAAATAATGCATATTTCTCGTTACTGTCAGTTTTTAGATCAAAGGATATACACCGAGTGATTAAAACAGAAATATATAAAACAATGATAAGGACGGTGCTTTATTATGGATGTGAGGGTTGGACGCTAAACAAGAAATAGGAATCAGTCATCAATTCTTTCGAGAGGAAAATCCTAAGACGAATTTATGGACCAATAAAAGAGAATGGGATATGGAGAATAAGATATTGTAACGTGTTTTGTTACTGATCCCACTTCTGAAACCAATATAACATGTTGTCGTTACTGAATACGCCGTAGAGATCGTTAATTGGTTTATTGAACAATCCACAAATATCGGCTACAATTAATTATAACACAGTTGCGGGTTTCCACACTTTACAAACCCTACAACAAAATCTCTTAACCCTATCCTCAAGAGTCTTGACGTATTAATAACGCGGGAGCTATACAAGTCTCCCTGAATTACACACTCCAAATATAGCTGGTTATCACGAACTATCACTGATTCTCGCACACGCGTCTGTAGCTCGTAACTTGTGAACTGAGAACTCGATAACACACTCACTCGTTGGCTTGCTCGGAACTCTCGGAGGTAGCTCGAGGACTAACTCGGAACTGTCTTCGGCGATGGCCACATTACAACTACAACTCAGCGACTGTTACGTTACAGCTGACTCGCAGCCGCTGTGCAGCTCACTTATATAGCCGCAGTGCTTGCCTGTTGCGTAATGAGTGCCACGTCATCCTGTTATGTCACCGCTGTTGACTCGCGTTGCGTAGCTACCAGGTTGCGGGGGCTCGGCTAACTTTGGCTCCGCTCGTGACGTCACCACGGGGAGAGTGGCGGGGTGATGACTCACCTATTAAGCAAGCGCTACATTACCGCCATGTGCCGCTGGGGAGGTAGGGGTCAACATGTCACAATATAATAAAGAGTTATACAAATTATATAAGGAGCCAGAGAACACAGTGACGATAAAGCTTAAAAGATTGCAATGGGCTGGGCATGTACAGAGAATGGATAAGGATCGTATCCCAAAGAAAATATTATACAGTACAATAGGTGGTAGGAGACGTGCTGGGAAACCAAGAACTAGATGGATTGATGTGGTGGAAGAAGATGCAAAGAAGTTAATGGGCATAAGGAACAGGAAGAGAGCAGCGCAGGATAGAGAGGAATGGAGGGGCGTGATAAGGGAGGCCAAGGCCCGACATCGGGCTATTGTGTCATAGAAGAAGAAGAAGAAGAAGAAGAAGAAGAAGAAGGAGAAGATGATGGTAGTGATGATGATGATGATGATGATGATGATGATGATGATGATGATGATGATGATGATACAGTTACCGTGGTAACACAGTGGTTTCCGAAGTCAGAAGACAGAATCCAGGAGTTACTGAAAAGGTACTAGGGATGGACCAAGATAGACTGCATTCTTCAGAAGCTCACATTTATTAATGTACACGGTGTGACAAGGATCCATTACGACTCATTTTTTTAAATTTTACCCTGCATTGCCATCTGTTGGCGAGTTGTGGCATTAAGATTCTTGAGGTTTCAGCTGTGGCTGTCTATAATTTCAAAGCGCAAGCATCGCTGCATCATGTGTTCTGACCTTAAATGTAACAGTAGTATTCTGACACTCGTCAGAAAATGGTGGTTGAACAGACAGCCAACATAAAATTTTGTTTCAAGTTAGGCAGCCAGAGAAGCGTACAAAATGATGAAAAGTAGTGATTGTTTGAGTCGCTCAAAAATTTTTCAATGGTATGCTGTATTTCATGACAGCAGGGTGGACATTGAAGACGCTCCACATGCCTCAAAGCCGAGAACAAGTCGCACTGAAGAAAATGTAAAAAAAGTGACCAAAATCGATGCATCAGACAGATGTATTTCTGCAAGACTCATCAAGGAGCTTTTGGGAATACCAAAAAGTACTGTGCATCAAATTTTGACCTAGTATTTGGGCAAGTGGAAGGTCTGTGCATGGTTTGTACCGCACGCGCTGTCAGGCAATGAAAAACATGCAAGAATGGAACAGTGCAAAAACATGTTACGGCCGGCCCAAAGTGATATAAAATTTACAAAGTTGATTGTTACTGGTGACGAGACATGGTGTCTTCAATACGAGCCTCTCACAAAGTGGCAGAGTGTCACTACAGTGAAGGTTGAGAAATGAAGTAGGATTCTTACAGTGTCAGTACAGTGAGGGTGTGTGGAATTGTTATATGGTTCTTGAGAAATGAAGTAGGCTACTTACAGCATCAGTACAGTGAGGTTGTGTGGAATTGTTGAGAGGTGCTGTATTGGGGGAGTTCATTACATTTTTGTCACTTGGACATTTTAAATCTTTTATTCATATATTCGTATTGTTTCCTTTAACATCTGATATCTCCTCTGAAGATGGACGTTTGTTACTGAAACATATCAGAGTTTTAACGGCATTTAATCAGCATAAGAAAGAAAATCAGGTATACTTTAATGATCAGCTGACGTCTTATTTTAACATATCAATTATATCACAGTAACAGTGACCATGCATTCTAAGGCATTCCTCTCTGAAACTGTATTCCTGTGAATGTTTCTGATTAATGTAAATGGTTATTGACATTCCCAAACACTGAATTTAATTGCATAGTGTTTCCCTTTTGTTGATTTCTGTGTTTTGGGGGAAAAAAATATGCAAGAAATTTTTCAGTTGGTATGCATTTTGATTTAAAAGATGAGTTAGGGTTGAATTAGTGATGCACAGATTATTAATAGAAACACGTGAAAAGCAAAGCGAAAAAGGAAAAAGTAAATGATGTTAAATCTCCCTCAGGAAAGGTTTGTAAAAGTACAAAAAAAGTATAAATTATGTGGGTATATCATCATCATCAGTAATCTGTCAAGATGACAGGTCCACAGTCTCTTCCAAAGCAATTCCTCCATTTAATGCAATCTAGAGCTTTCTCCTTCAAATGACAGTATCCTCTTCTGTCCCCAAGGTCATCCAGCATCTTCTTACGTCTTCTTCCTCGTCTTCTTGTCACTTCTATCCGCCCCTCTATCTTTCCTTCGATAACTTCTTTTAGAAGGCAGTTTCTGCGTAAAACATGACCAATCCAATTAGCCTTCCGTTTTCTTATTTCATGTAGGATATTCCTCTGCTCACTGACTCTAATTAACACTTCTTCATTTCTCACAT